AACCATGGCCAAATTTCCTTACTCCACACGCCTCTGTTTACCAAGCAGGAAGGAGGAACCAGGTTGCTAGTCGATTGGGGCGGTGGTGGGGGGGGGGGAATGGTCGCTATCTGGGGGTAACAATCCCTTCCCTTCAAAAAATAAAACAACAAAAAAATGTGGTCGCTCAATCCACGATGCTGGGACGGTGCTGTGCACAAATGGCTGCCATGTTTAGCCCACAAAACACACAGTCAATCCACTTTGCAGTACATTCTGTGAAGCACTTTAAGACGTCTCAGCGACGTGATATGGAGCTACATCAAATGCAAAGATCATTATTACTTATCAGATGTTAAGAGTTCTTATCTGCTGCTCATGTGGACGTTGAAAGATCCTGTCACACAGTAAAAAGCGATCACGTTTCCCAGTGTAGCGGGCTGATAAACAACACAATTCAAAACAGCATCTCTGATGCAGGAGTGTTTGTTTAAAAAAAACAGGATGGGAAAATGGGATGGTAATTACCTATTCAAAAAAAAGAGTCAATTTTGCAGTATTTCTCAATTAACAAATCCAAGTGGGACTCCTTTCCGGTAACTGGAAATCTTTCTCGCACGTCACTGACTCGAGGGAAACCCAGTTCTGAAAATAGATGCGAGTTGGAGTGACATTCCTGAGAATCGGGAGTCACAGTCACAGCCCTTATGGATCTCTTAATTAATACCGCAAAACTGATCCCAACTTACAATAACATTACCTGTCCCATCTGCCTTCTGAATCATCCATTTGGTGGCGTTGATGAAATAATTGCCCGCAGCCCCACCACTCCACCTGCCAGCTATGTATTATCCACACTGGTTTTAACACTCCTTTCCTGGGTGTGTTACTTTGTGTGTTACTCACTGATTTCTTGCAGTGTGCAGTTATGTATGTGATAATGCATCATAGTTAGGAGCTCAACAACATACAATGAATGCCTGCAGTCAGGGTGTTCACAAGAAAATGATGGCGGTCACAAACACACGCACCGATCCTCTGAACATCTAAATACGGTTAAACTCTTGTACTGAATACAATTGAGTACTTCTAAATACAATTACTGGATGATGATTCTTTCACATATTACAGTTGTTGGTCAGTGCACTAACCCTACCGTTCACCACTGTATCCTCCTCCACCATCTCTCCTCTCACCTCAACCTTCATGGTTCTGTCCTTGAGTAGTTCAGATCCTAACTCTCACACTGTCTCCACTTCATTGCCACAAACAGTTTCTCCTCTAGTCCCCGCACCATCTTGTGCGTCATTCCTCGGGGCTCTGTCCTTGGTTCCCTCCTCTTCCATACTTACATGCTCCCTCTTGGTGACATCATCCACAGACATCGGGTCAACTTCTACATGTACGACTCTACCTCTCTGTCTTCACCCTCGACTCCAGGACCCACTGCTGTCCCTGACAGAATGTCTGTCAGACATCAAGTCCTGGATGAGAGCTAACTTTCTACAGTCGAACGTCAGCAAGACTGAGGCTCTCCTGATTGGCTCCCGTCAGCGCCTCCTCACCTCAGGTACTGACAGCATCATCATCCATGGTTGCACACTCCACCTCACTGATTCAGCCCCAGAATCTAGGGGTCTTGTTTGACCCTCGACTATCCTTTCTACCCCACATCTGTGCCATGACCCGCTCTGCCTTCCCCCACCTCTGCAACATCACCCGACTCCATCACTGTCTCACACCGCAGGCCCCCGAGACCCTCATACACACATTCACCACATCTAGGTTTGACTACGCCAGTTCCCTGTTTGTTGGCCCTCAACTCCTCCCTCCTCAAGTTGCAGATCATCCAGAACTTTGCAGCTTGTGTCCTCTCTCACCAGGCTCTGTGACCCAATCACCCCCACTCTCACCCGGCTCCACTGGCTCCCTATGCCCCAGAGGGTAAGAGTTCAAAATCCCCGTTCTCGTCTTCAAGGCTCTTCACGACCCTCCCTACCTCTGTGATCTACTGACCCAATATCAACCTGTCCGCTACCTCCACTCAGCAGGCTGTGGCCTGCTCCATATCCCCCACCTGGTCTGAACCACCATCGGCAGTCGGGCCTTCATCCTTTCTGCCCCCACCCTATAGAACTCCATCTCACATTCCCTTGGCCTCACTTCCTTGCCTTCTAAAAGGCGGGTCTCAAAACCCCTCCTCTTGACCGAGCCTTCAGTCTCCAGCTCGGATCCAAATCCCTGACTGTCCAGGGCCTTGGGATGTCCTCCCAACCTGAAAGGTGCTGAACATATGTAATTTTGTATTGTATATAAACAAAAAAACACATGGGGGTACCAGGACTTTGTGAACTGTTATTGTATGGACTGAGTGCAACCAGATAGCACAGCACAATCTTTCCATTGGGGAACGGAGGGACAGAGAGGAAGAGACACGAACAGCCCCGTGCATTGTGACTGATCTCTGAATATAAACTTCAAAGGATTGATTACAACAACAAAGACTTGTTTTAAACTCAGAACTTCTCAGCGTTTATTTACACTTCACTTGCAAAGAAACGTCCAGTGTACACAGAAATTATTTTACTTTTTATACAATCTATGGAGCAAGGGGGTGGGGGGGGGGGGTTGGGGGAAGCATTAAGATATCGCAGTGACGTGGTGCGAGGCGGGGGTGGGAAGGGGTGAATAAGCCAAGTGCAAAAAGAAAACCATTTAAACAAGCAAAAAAACACAAACAGCGATGCTTTACATGGAAGTTTACAGTATTTTTACACAACGTTAATAATGTATTATGATTATCCAAACATAATGTACAAAAAAAATCAAGTGGTTACATATTTGGTAGCATACAGTCTCCGTACAACACGCACAAGCAGTTAGCTTCCTCTGTCTCTCTCTCCATGTCTTGCTCACTCTCTCCCCCCACAACCCCCTTGCTTAATGGATCAATGGAGTTGAAAAGTTTTTACATTTTTGGTGGCTGCCAAATCTCCTTTTATGCCACATAAACATTACTTCAATACCAGGGCGAGAAGGGGTATGGAAATTAGAAAATAATAATTTTAAATAAAAAATGTCCAGCTAAAACTCACTGGGTTGCCCTGTGCTATAACAGGAAGGATATCAGAGGGGGCAAAAGATTCTGACAAAATGAACTTTACACTGTAGGTTCCTCAAATAAACATGCTGTGTCTGCAGTCACTTCAATGCCCTCTGGCTTTCTGCGGGGCAGTTTAACATTACTGTCAGCACAGAAACTATTTCTTTTTTCCCCAAAAAATTTTTTTTTCAAAAATTAAGTATCAAGAAATATCCCTTGGCACAGGAGGCAAGATTCAGACATGCAGAAATTTCAACGTGGGTTCCTCTCTGTCTAACACCTCCAGACAAGCCAACGTACACATCCCATCCGCCCCTGTTTGCAACCCGACCTTGGGCTGGGTATTTATTCACTTAAGACACGGAACCCTGGGAGTTCGAGCGAGTTGTCCCCTGGCCGCTAAGCAGATCAGGAAATTGACGCTGCAAGCCAGAAAATGCAGTGGATTCACGAGGGAAGCCTGTACAAGGGCTAGAAATGCTTAAAAGGACAAGACTCGGGTCACTAGGACATTTCCTCCCCTACCATTCGCTTGTGTTGGGACTGACTAACAGGACAGGCTCTATTCTGTCTGATGTTGGAACACTCCCGCACCAACCCCCCGCCCCCACCCACACACACACACACACTTCAAAGGAATTCTTTGAAGATCCTGACAGATGTCCATTTGGACACACATACATACACAACACACACAGACAGACAGTTGAGCAGAATTTCCCCTGATGTTTGAGCATGGAAATGCTAACTTAAATCATAGCGGAGTTCACAGCATCCGGTCTGCACTGGAGCTCTCTGCTCTCTGCCGTACCTTATTATTATTGAGAAGAGTTAAGGAAAGACTGCAGCATAGGAGTGTGTAATATTGTCCCAGGACCATAAATCCGAGTGACTGCATTACACCCTTTAAACAGTCGCATTGTGGTTATGGATACAGATGCTCTCTCTGTATCTACTGACATCTGCATTTGACTAGAGCCATGACACCAGGGAGGAGGTGAGATCACCTGCCCTGACAGGTCACTAAGTAATTTCTCTGTTTAAACTGAAGCGAAGCTGGATGACAGAAAACCAGGATCGAGTTGCTTCTCTTGTTGGGCAGTTTATTGCCAGGATAATAAACCCAGAATAAATCATCAAGCGATGCACAGTTCTACACCACAGGCCTCGCTCACTCTTCTCTGTAGAAGGCTGAACCGGTGTTGAATCTATTTGGGAGCTGGAGGGGGTGGGGGAAATTGAATCCAAGAAAACAAACAGCACCCTCCTTCCAAAGTTAAACTACACTGAAAATAGCAATAGTCCCTGATGCACTGAATCAAAGCAATCACTTCCCAGCTAAGGGGAACTTTGCTAAGGTGCTCTCTCACTCATGCCTCAAGAGCCAGGCCGGCTCTCATCACAAGGGATGGCGGTTTATGAAAGCATTTTGGTAGGAAGCATGTTTACAAAGCAAAATATTAAATTAGTATCAAATGGATACTGAATATTATAAAAAAAACTTAAATAAAACCAGAGGTTCCCAACTTCAGCTCAGAGTGAAACCAAACGTCCATCTCTCCAGCCCTTGTGTTGGGGTCTTCAGTCATCCCTAATTTGCGATGTGAAACGCTGATGAATGGCTTTCTCGAACCGCAGAGAATCCTTGTGATATTTTACCCATGTGTGTTCGATTAAAGCCGGAGCTTGGGGAACCACAATCAAATAGTTAAGGACTTTTGTTAAGGATTTTGCTGCTGCTCATTCCGATCACAAAAAAAAAGAAAATTTCCAACCAGTGTACTCCTGCTCGTGAGGGGTTCAGATTTCGCCTGTTCCCTCTCAGACACTGGGAAGAGTATGGAGCAATGTCCCATAAGCAATAACTCCCACTTTATTTTTTTTGGGGGGTGGGGGGGGCGCGGCACTTAATAATAACATTCCTTGCATTTGATATAGCACCTTATTACGTCGTTGAGACATGTCAAAAAAGCAAATATGGTATCTGTAGACTTGAAAAGCAAAAGCTCTTTGATTTAAAGAGCGCTACAGTGTGCCCTCACATCACAGGGCACTTCACAGATCGATCAAAAGACAAACAAACCCATGAGTTAAGAGTCCAGTGTTAGCACCGCGCTCTGTCGTGTAACTTGGAATGCAAGTTGCGTCTCTCGTTCACCTGCTCAGGGAGTGTTTGAGCCACTGGAAGATTGTTAATACCTTCTCCCACTCCCTCAAGGGTTATTTGTCACCCAATAATTTTTTTTAAACCAAACTTAAAACCATGGGCTCGCCTTGCTTTTCTTTAAATAACACAAACAAACAAAAAAAAACACAACATGAAACGTTGAACAGAAAGTGGTGGCTGCGCTCGCTCACTGAGACAAAGATTGACATTTTCCAGTTTCCATGGTGACACTCCGCGTCCAGTCCTGCCAAAAAGTTGGGTCAGGAATCTTGTAAAACTCTTCTTTCTTTCTTTCTTTCTTCTGCAACCCCCCCACCTCCCCTCCAAAAGTGCAACGCGTTGAGATCTAAGCCTTTTCGCACCTTACCCAGTGAGGACTGAAACCCCAGTCGCTTGTTGGGATGCTTCCCACCTCGGCTCGTTCACAAGCCGTTGCGCTTGCACAGAGCCCTGTTGACAGAAGTTCGCACAGAGCCCTGTTGACAGAGGCTCACGCAGAGCCCAAATGGAACAAATTTCAACAAAAAAAATTAAATCTCTTCAGGGCGGCGAATGTCTCAAACACACAAACACGGCACCGGGACCCTTCGGTCCTCACAGAGGGAAGTGTTACCGCACGGCGGGCTTTCTGCTGGGGATGACGCGGGGGTGACACGAGGCTTGGTGTGGTGGCTCCAGTCCCATCTTGCTGTTCGAGGGCAAAGCTTTGTGGGCGATGATTGTCTTGCTACGAGAAAAGGAAGCGACATAGGAGGGACGCGCGCGCACACACACACACACGCAAACTCCCGCGTGCACACACACGCTCTCGCGACACTTTACTGCCAATGAGACGTAGCTCCACCCCACCCCACGTGTCCGAGCGACTGTCTCACAGGTCTCCTTTGATGAAGCTGGTGTCCAGGTGCACGATTAGCAGGCGGAGGAAGGACATCTCCTTCCGAGTGTTCTCAAAGATGATCCGCGGGTCGTCGGACTGACAGCGCAGGCAGTTGGGGGCCATGACCATGGCCAGGTTATTCACGTCCATCTTGGTTTTGCCCACGTTGGCCGGCTGAGCGAAAATCTGAGGTTTAAAAAGGACACACCTAGTGTTCAGCACCTCACCCCATCAGGATCTCCAGCGCTCACTCCCCCTTTAAGCGGAGGAATAAAAGAGCTGCTCCCCTTTTTCCTCTCTCCATTTGGTTGCAGATAGGGAGACATTTCCTCCCCCCCCCAATTCGCTCCTCAGGGGCCGTGATGTGCCGTGATGGGACAATTGCTCGGCTGCTGATGCTGACGCTCGGCTTCACAGCGCCCTGATCTCGTAAAATGGTTGGTGCAGTTTGAAAGGTGACAACATAAAACAGTCTGTGTGTGTGTGTGTGTGTGTGTGTGTGAGTCTGTGTGTGTGAGTGCGAGTCTGTGTGTGAGTGAGAGTATGTGTGTGCCTGTTTGGGTGAGTCTGTGTGTGTGTGAGTGAGAGTCTGTGTGTGTGTGCACGTGCGCGAATATACATGTGTGTGTGTGTGTGTGAGAGAGTCTCACCCGAGAAAAACAAGTGGGGAAAACTGGCTGTTTAGCCATTGGCGCAGGTGGGGGGAAAGGTGTGGAAGAGAGAAACTCAGATTTCCGTTGCAGCAATACCCTGGGCTGAGCGAGAGGTTTTGCTGCTCAGACAGGGAGCCGGCCACACTGACCTGTAAGAAGTGGATGAGGTAACCCAGCACCAGGCGGTTTATTTCGGGCAGAGAGGCCACCACGGCGACGGCGGCCTCCGGGTTCTCGTAGTTGTTGACACAGAGCGGGTAGAAGGTCTGTGGGATGAGAGGCTCCTCCAGCTCCCGGTACCATAGCTTCAGCAACGAGGCTGCGGAGAGCAGAGACACGGACACTCATGTGAGAGAGAGAGAGAGAGAGAGGAGCCGTGGGCTTCCGTACTTCGCTCACGACCGCCGGAGATTTTGAAGGACCTCCAGCTGTTTTTTTTTGGCTACAATATGGAGTGTGGCTTCTACTGTCCTTCACGTCAGCGAGGCTGTGCTGACTGGGCTCTCGAGCAAGCTGGACCTAGTCTGGTTGCTAAACAGTCCTGAAGTCATACAGCCACACACACGGTGGCATTGATATTCCAACACGTTGGGAATCCTCATTAATTCTTATCTCTATAACTACCCGGCATGAGGGTGAGTGAAGTACAGTACAGGGTGTCCACAAAATCCTGTTCCCCCACCGTTACACTACAGTGATATGAGACTACGGAGGAGCTGAAACAAGCTGTTGGAGATACATTTCATTTCCTCACTGACTCCATTCACATCATGGAAGATGTGGCACCGAACATGGCGACCAATCATTATCTGCCGTGAAAATGATGGCGCGCACACACACACACACCAAACACACACACACCAAACACATGCACGCACCAAACGCGCACACGCACGCACCAAACGCACACACGCACGCACCAAACGCACACACGCACGCACCAAACGCACACACCAAACGCACACACGCACTCACACACATCGATCCTCTGTACATTTAAATACAATTAAACACTTGTACTGAATACAATGAAACACTTCTAAATACACGTTATCATCATCTTTCCACGTGTTGCTGTTGTTGGTCAGTGTACTGCAGAGAAAACAAAACATGGGGATAACAGGACTTGGTGAACACCCTGTAGAACAGTTACAAATCTGGACTGAAGTTATGTACAGCGAGACACTGTGGCTCACTTCAGTGATTTATCTCTTCACTAAAGTCTTTCCTGTGTGTCTCTCACTCTGATCGGAGCAGTCCATACTCAGTGATCTTATTCTTTGTGTTAATTTTCTCAACAGTTTTCAAAAGGAAAAAAACTCTTGCTGTACCTTGTGCTGTCACTAGAGGTCGAATGTCTGAAGTCTATCTTGTAAATATTTATTTGGTGATGTGTTGGGAAAGGGGAGAGGAAGTGATTATAAACAGCAGAACCTGAATTACAAACACACCCTTCTCCCTCCCCTGAGAAAGATTACATTCAGGTTGAAGTCTGCCACTTACTCCACATCCAAAGCAGAGAAAACCCGAATGAACACAGGAAATCTTTGATCTATTCTTATCCCACAAGGAGTCCACAGAAGACCCTCGATGAGGGCTAAACAACAACAACTTGCATTTATACAGTGCCCTTCACGCTGGGCAGCGCCTCAGAGCGCTTAACAGTGGCGCAGCCCGATGCCGAGCCAGGGGGAGGGGGAAGGCGACCGTAGGCACGGTCAAGGTCTTAACCCAACCCAGCTCAAACCTCGCTTAAATTGCAGGGTAAAAGGGGCATTGATTACCTGGTATGTGGGGGTCAGCAAGATTCTCTGGGATCCGCCACTGGTCAACCTGCAATTTCAGGGCATTGACTTCATCGATGTCCCCAGGCACTCTGAAAACACAGACAAACACAGCACTTGGAGGCGTTTGGCACACAAGGAAAGGGGCTTTAACACCTTACTTACACCGCACTCCATATGGTGCCAGATTAGGCCGCTGGGCTCCAGGCACTGACAATGAGCAGAATGTTGTCACAGTTGGGAGGGACGTCTTCATGCTTTTTAGGAACTGCCTAATCCTGCTCCGAGGCAAATGTAGACAGCTCTCACCACCTTCCCGACCCAGCCTGCCCTTTCCCCCAAACACCCCCTCCTCTCCCCCTGCGGCGCTGCCCTCGCTTGGGACTGCAACTTACACCAATATAACACTTTCAAACAGGAAAATGTCTCGGAGGGCTACAAATTCAGACAAGTGAATGTCCTCACTTGTCACCTGCTTTGTTATGCTGCTAACACAACAAGGGAAAATCGATGCGTTGTCAGGGAATCAGCAGATGTGATTTTGTGGCCTCATCTCACTGTTACTGCCAGTGTCCCAAAGGCCATCGCCTCCCCCCCAGCCCCTCGCCATCACCTCTCTTCCCCCCTCCACCATCACCCATCTTCCCCCTCCCCCCCGCCATCACCTCTCCCCCTAGTGATTACCTGAAAATGCCTTCGGTCTGTGCTCCGCCCAGTGCTAAGACCTTGTTGGACAGCTGAGTCTGTACCCAAGGAAGCTTCCTCTCCGGGTACCTCTCCCGCTGCCTCTCCATGATCTCTTCCAGAGAGCTGCCAAACATGGACGGTGTAACAATGGCGTTTTTAGCGTGATGGATTTCCTCAATCGTTGGTTTTCTAAGGCCCTGTTGGTGAGAGAGAGAGAGAGAGAGACAGAGAGAGATTTCAGCTCAATGAACTTTTCTCCACGATAGAACGAAAAACAACATGTTTAGGTGAGGATTTTTCCCATCAGATTTCAGCATCACTTGAACAGCCCAGGCTCAGGTAATGTAGTAACACGAGGAGATCAGTGTTGTGCTCCAGCGTCTGCCTACAGTGGTCACTTGGGAAAGGCACATCGGCCTCTCTGCCCCCACCCTTTGGAACTCCATCCCACATTCCCTTCGCCTTGTTCCCTCCCTTGTCTCCTTCAAGGCACGTCTCAAGACCCTCTTCTTCGACCGCGCCTTCAGCCACCTTCCTCCCCTCCCTGCCCTCCACCCCTACTAATTCCAATCCCACCCTCTCCCTGCTCGAGTCCAAATCCCTGACAGTCCAGTGCCTGCGGACGTCCCCCTGACGTGAAAGGCGCCATACAAATTGTATTGTATTTTGTATTGCAAGATCTGAATCTCGTGCCGAGTCGAGTGTGACAATCTGCAGCTCAGTATTCATGGTCACGAGGCAAATTGCACTGCAACTGCCTGCAGCAAATGGAAAGAAGCACAAACGCACACATGCACATGGGCAAGCACACACACGCACATATACATGACCATGCACATGGACAAGCACACACATGCACATATAGACACACACACACTTTACCTTCTTTCCTCCGGTCACTGTCACTTTCTGAAGCTTGCGATAACAGTACTTTGCGTACGTGCTGATGGCAAGATCTGAAAAAAAAAAGCATTCACCAAAACTAAATAAAAAAACACTCACACGCTGAAGCCGAGCACATTTTCATGGTGAAAAGCCCGAGGTCCAGGCTGTTAACTCTCCCGACCTGAGGTGAGGGGTGGGGGGGGGGGGGGGGGGGCATAACACCCAACACTGGCCAGGTTGAGAGCTAAAAGCACAGAGAAAGGATTAGACCTGGTCCTTTCCTTTCTTCATCTCCATGACTCATTTGATACATCAACTGACCCACGAAAGGAGTTCTTCCCATTTCTAATAGATTCATAAAATATTTTCCCCCCACCAACAAACCATCCCAGTCACGCACACTCACCCTCCTCCTCGTCACTGTTCTGTTTCCTCTTCTTTCTCGACTTGGAGAACTTCTTATTTTTAACTTCCAGCAATTCTTTGATTCGCTGAGTTACTGGAACGAAAAAAAAAGGAATTAAAAATGCTGTGAAACATACATGAAGGCAGAAACCCTCCCCATTCCTCAAAACTGCGCCTTTTGCCCAAGCCCGTCTAACATTGCAGAGTTAGCATAACATACAGCGAAGGAAAAGGGCAATATCCAGGTCACGTACCAGCAGAAGAACAATAATAATCCTTGCATTTGATACAGCATCTTATCATGTCATTGAGACGTCACAAAGCACTTCACAGAATATACCGTAAAGTGGATTCACTGTGTATTTCGAAACGCGGCAGCCAATTGCGCACAGTAGTGTCGCATAAACAGTCGTGGATTGAAAGACCAATTTTTTTTAAAAAAGGGATTATTACGCCTGGAAAACTATCCACTAATTGACTAACAACTGGGTTTCTACTAACCGCTAAGTAAACAGAGGTGTGTAAAGAAACTTGCCTAAGGTTTTGCCCCACCCAGAAAACAAAGCCAGATCCTCTCGTTTGCGAGGCGAGCGCGCTAAGCATTACTCTATGGGACTCCACGAACCAATGCTGTTTTGTCGAACACCAAGCTCACCTACCTTTTACATCATTACTGGGATCTGTGTGCCGGTAGATATAGCCTTCCAAGTAAGACTGGAATTTGGGAGACGGGGAAAAGAAGGCTAGGCAGACAGCCATCAGTTCCCAGCCAGAGGCCAAGCTCTTGTAGGATAGGTTGTCGGTGGTCTGCCTACACAGCTGGATGTAGAACTCATCCCTGATGCCCTGCATGGACCAGCACTTGGTGACGATGACCAAAGCGATGGGAACCCTCTCCATCCGGCTCTGCCTGTCCCCCATGTACATCTGCACCAGTTTGAACAGTTCACAGGCCTCCTTCTTGATGGTCCGATCGCTGGTGATCAACATGGGCTTCTTGATGGAGCAGTTGACCCAGGAGAGCATGTTGGCGATGGAGATCCTGCGACGGAAGATGCCCTGTGTATGCATGTTCAGGTGTTTGGAAGCCCAGTCCGCCATGCTCTTCTCTGGCAGTGGTTTCCTCAGCGTAGTGTAGGAGAAATGATAGCCCACCGTGCAGGCCTGCCCTCCGGGGGTACTCTGGGGGCTGCCGCTAATATTCTACAAAAAGCACAGAAATGTTTGCTATTAAACAGGTTTCCAAATGTAACGCAGGAACAGGAGTAGGCCATTCAGCCCCTCCAGCCCGTTCTGCCATTCTATTGGATCATGGCTGATCTCTCTGCTGGAGACGTAAACCACTCAAATGTGCACCTATATAAGTCTTTGCACATCAATTAGTACAGAAAAGTGTCCCCCAAACCCACCAAAAAACTCCTAATGGGTCGAGGGGACAATTCAACTCCAGTTACCTGCCTTTGCTCCATATCCCTCGATCCTCTTAGCCAACAAACACCTATCCACCTCAGTCTTGGAAATTGCCTCTCTCCTCTGCTGAACGCATCCAACGCCTTACCCGGTCCAGCCCCACCATTGGCAGTCGGGCATTTCAGCCTCTCTGCCCCCACCCTTTGGAACTCCATCCCAAAGTCCCTCCACCTGGCCCCCTCCCTTGCATTAGTAAAGGCCTGTCTCAAGACCTTCCTCTAAGACTGCGCCTTTGGACACCCTCCTACTCCTACCCTCCCTGCCCTCCACTCCTCCTGATCCCAATCCCCAGCTCGGGTGTAAACACACGAGTGTGCAGTGCCTTGGGACATCCTCCCGACATGAAAGATAATGTGTAAACATAATTGTAATTGTTGTTGTTACCTGTGGCGGGTTGCGGACTGGGTCTGGTGAGTTCAGGCTAATCTGACTTGTGAGGCTCTTTTCCAGCGAATTACAGGAGAAATCCACTTTCTCGAAAGTCCTTTTCTGCCGGATTGCCACCTCCTGTTGCGTTGCCAGTTCCCCGTCGACTGAGGCCCTGACGTCGGGGCTGGTTTTGTGCAGGGACCTATTGCTGGCCGACACGTCGTCCCGGGAACCCCGTCCGGAGTATGGCCGGACATGCCGCCCCTCGCACTGCAGCCGGATCTTGTGAATGTCGGCCAGGATACAGGTCTCGGCCAGCTCGGCGTTCAGGCTGGCCCGGCTGCCCCTGATCACCGCCGAGCGGTTCACCACGGCTCTCATCTCAGCCATGAGCTTGTCATTCAGCACGTTGAGCTCACTGGTGCTGCCCAGAGACCCTGGCCTGGCCTGTCCAGCCATCGTCCTCCTCCCCTTCCTCCTCCGCAGGCTGGGGGAGGGGCCTGTGGAGTAGCCCGAGTCCTGCTGGCTGACCACCGAGATGGGATACTCTTGCGACTGGAGGCTGCTCTGGCGGCTGTGTTGCCCGTCAATGCTCTTGATGGAGTTCACATCCAGCAGTTTCCACGGCTGCTTGTTGCCGTCCTTCGCCGTCAAGGCACCTCCCGCTGCGTACGCCCGCGTGGCCCGGTCACAGCTCCCGGTGGGAGAGAGCGACTGCTTGGAAGACTGGTCGATGTTGACCATGTGCTTGATGTACTCCCTGCCGGCCGGGCTGTACTCAGTGTTGGATGGTTTCCTCGCGTGCTTGGTCACCACCGGCGGCGGTTGCTGCTGCTGTCCTGGGAAGCCAGGGGTCTGGAGCAGTTTGAGGGGCGGAGGCGGGACCTTCTGCTGCTGCTGCTGCTGCTGCTGCTGCTGCTGTGACGGCTGGTGTTGAGCCAGGCTCGCGGGATCCACCTCCATGGGCGGCTCATCGTAGATGGGCGACTCGATGGGGGGCTCGTCGTAAATGGGGGCAGAGGAGGCGCACTTGGGGGAGGAGGGCTGCTGAGCCAGGCCGGGGCCAGGCTGTGGAGTCTGACACGGAGAGTTACTCAGCACCAGGCAGAAGCCCCCGTTCTCCGTCTTCTTCAAGTGCAGCGAGGGCTTGTGTTCCAGAGAGGAAGAGGGGGTCTTCCCGGCCAGAGGGAGGCTCCCGCCCAGCGGTGGGGGTGGTGGGGGGGGTGGGGGGGCAGGATTGTGGCCGAGGGCTTTGACTGTCGGAGATTTTTGGAGGCTGACGGCCGGGATGGGAGGTTGCTGAGGCACTGCCGTGCTTGTTCCGTTGTCCACTTTGACCAACATGGCGGCCTTGCTGCCCGGAACCGGCTGCCAAGGGGAAGTGGACCTGAGGGAGAAAACAAAGGTGGCTTTAGCACTGCCAACAACAAGTGACGTTTACACAGCGCCTTTCACGTCGGGAGGATGTCCCAAGGCGCTGGACGGTCAGGGATTTGGACCTGAGCCAGGGTCCAAAGGCCACGAGAATAAAACGCCAAAACTGTGCTTCACAACGAACTAACGAGTCTCCACTTAACAACAACAAGGACGTTACATTTACACGGCGCCTTTCACGTCGGAAGGACAGCCCGAACAGTTAAGGGTTTGCGCTGAACTGGGGGGGGAATTGGAAACGAGAGGAATTTATTCCTTGCTCTCGATTTCAAAACCTCATAGGAAAGGGATGGAGAAGCAATTGCGCAGCAAGCATTACATCAGACCAGCTCGCTTAAGTCACCTTGACACGCTACACACAGCCATTCAATCCCTTACCGATTAATTTATTCTGGATTCACAACACGAACCTAGTTTTCTGGAAGAGCTCGCTTCATTCACTTTGTGAAATTGGCGGATGTTAAAAAAACGTCCTCGTCGCGGCTCCTTTTCCCACCCAAAAGAATCCTCGACCGACTGACCGTGCTGTGCTGTCTGTTCCCCGTCGACAGCAGAGCAGCGGGTCTCTCACCTTCGGGAGAATTCTGTGCTCGACTGTGAAATTCTATCAAATGGCGTGTTCTGGGGCTGTGCCAGCACAGAGGAACTGAAGAGGCCTTGTTCCTCCAGTCAAGTTTGTTTTCAGCAAGTGAGCTCAATTTAACATCAAGAGCTGGAACCAGAAGTGGTGGGGGGGGGGGGGACGGGAAGTACGACAAATACACCGTCCCAAGGCGTGAGCCGGGCAGAGAGACTCTGTCACTGCATGGCTTTGTGGTGATGCATCGAGAGAAACCTTACGATTCGCAGCCTTCCCTTTAAGGGAATATTCCTAATTATTATTGCTGGGATAATTAAAGAACTCCATCCACTGTTCAGAGACGATGTTTAAAAGGGCCTTTAAAATCTGTCCTTGAATCCTACTTTCTTGACCTGTACCTATGGTCACCTCTCCCCTCTCCCACGAAAAGTGCTCCAAGACATTATTCTATGTGAAGGATGCTGTATAAATGCAAGTTGTTGGTTTTGTTGTTGCTGTAGCACAACCACAAGTGAATGATCTCCTCCCACAGAAATCCCCACACAACAGCAATACTTGCATTTGATACAGTGCCTTATCAGGGCGTTGAGATGCCTCAAAGCCCTTCACAGGATATACTGTAGAGCGGAGTGACTGTGTATTTGTGTTTTTGTGGGTGAAGAAAGTCTGGCAGAAGTCTGCAAAGTGGTTTAAAAACCCGGCTGGAGTTGTGCTGTGTGATTTTACCCACCGCCTGCGCATTGTGAGTTACTGGATTGAAATGGTTAAACACTGCAACGTCCTGTTGCAGTGAGCTGACGGGGGGGGGGGGGGGGACTGGAGCACACCCAGTGCGTCTCCCTGAGGTCGCCACTCAGACTGGCATTTGTTGTTTGATCCACCCAGTCCGGCTCCTTTACTGGGAGATTAAAACATTAACCCTTTGCGTGCCGCTCGAGTCGAGGAATTAAGAGTTTTGCAAAAAAAAAAGTTACAACTTTTGAAACTGATCCAACCTGCAAATATAACACCTCAAAATAATATACAGGACTCAGGGCGCTCGCCTCGCAAGGGGTTCAATTCCCGGGGTGGGGCGAAACATTGGGCAAGTTTCCTTACTCCACATGCCTCTGTTTATCCAGGAGTAAATAGGAACCCAGTTGTTAGTCGATTGTTGGATCGCTTTTACAGGAGTAATAATTCCTTCAATACACAATCAATTCACTTTACAGTACATCCTGTGAAGCGCTTTGAGACGTCTCGAAGACATGATAAGGCACTGGGTCAAATGCAAGGATTATTATTATTATATCAAATGCACAGGAAGAGAAAGGGGCGACGGGTCATCAGGTGTGGAGGGCGCTATATAAATCCAAGTTGTTGTTGTTGTTATCAGAAGTACCACCTTCCCGTTGCTCTCTGCACTGCCTATTGTGAGGCTGTAAGAGGGATGAGGCAATGTGGAGATCGACGGGAAGAGGAGTGGGAAGCAATGCTGCCATACACACACTCAAAGGCCAATACCTCTGCCCCTGAGTGGGGAGCACATCCTGTACCTAAGCTCCCAATCTAGCTGGCCTCCAGAAGCCACTGGAAGCTGCCCAGATGAAACTCTCCCCTCATCAGATTCTTTCTCTTCCATCACCACCACCAAAACCAACTCTTCACCCACCCGACAAGGAGACCCGACAGCTACTTACTCAGCATCTCACTGCCGCGCACACAGCTCCGACTGGGAACTCAGGAGATGTAAACCATTCAAACATGCGCCTTTCTAAGTGTTTGCACATCAATTAGCAGAGCAAGCTGTTCCCCCCCATTAAAAAAAACACTAACGGGTATAAGAGCGAATAGTGAACCTGTGGAATAGGCTCCCTAGGGGAGACGGTTGTAGCAGGAAATGTTGATTCCTTCAAAAACAGATTAGAGAGTTTTCTTTTAGGAAATAACCTTATGGGATATAGTACATAGGTAGTTCCGGTCATATGTGCAGGCGACCATCAGGAAGGTGGAAGGCAAACTAGATGGACCTTGGGCTTTTTTTCGTCTAGCATTACTTATGTTCGTATTTTCTTAAAGCAGCAGTTTGAAGGCAGCATTTTGTGCAGTTCATATTGCAAATAAGGACCTATACAAATGTAATCTTGTTCTTGTTGTAACACTCTCTCAAGCAGCCAATCACTGCCCTACAAATCTTTTTAAACCTTCAGTTAAGGTATGAACAAGGACTCACTCCCATTCTAAAACTTAAAAGGAATTAAGTTTGTCCCAAGTTCTCTCGATTGAATCACTCCAATCTTCAACACTGCAAAAAATGTTCCCAAAAAAAATACATAGCGGTGAAATCGCTGACTGCGATCTGCTGATCAGTGTTTAAGTAATAAATAATAATAATCCTTGCATTTAATATAGCGCTTTTCACGTCTTCTAGATGTCTCAAAGTGCTTCACAGAATACATTGTAAAGTGAATTGATTGTATATTTGTGGGTGAAACGTGGCAGCCAATTGAGCACAGCAATGTCCCACAAACAGTCGTAGATTGAAGTGACCAATTTATCATTGATTTTCGGGGGGTTTTTTCTTGAGGGATTATTATCAGGCCTGTCGAGTAAGAAAAGTTGCTCAAGTTTTCGCCCTGCTGGGAAACAAATCCAGGTCTCTCGCTTGTGAGGCGAGCGCTCTAACCACTGAGCTACAGGACTCCACTAAAATCATAGTCTTGGGACATCCTCCCAACATGAAAGGCGCTGTGTAGATGTAAATTTATTGTTAGTGTTAATAATAAGCACAGACACAATTTCCAGCCTGCAGTGTTTGTGGGTCTCAATTACGACACACAAACACTCTCACACACACTCTCTCACACACATACACTCTCACACACACACACTCACTCTAACACACTTACACTCTCACACACTCTCTCACACATACATACACACACACTCTCACTCTCTTATAATGTGCTGATGCCTCTTTAAATGAGAAAAGCTGCTCCTCCCTCAGGCACTTGCTGCCATGTGCTCTCTTGAAGTGAAATTCCTCTCGATTAAATTACATGATCTGAAGTCACGATAAAGTATAAACTGCTCAATTTGACCAGTGAACTTTTGACTTTTACTCTTTGCAGTGATCGCTCCAGAGAGAGAGAGAGAGAGGAAGGAGAAAGTTAGAAATGATGCATTTTAAACTAACAACATTTTAACCTTATTTTTTCCATAAATAAAAAATAGTGGAAACTATTTTGACTTTCAATAATGCTGCTCTTCAAGGTGCTGACCTGCGGACCTAATTGTAGCAGCAACACCCCCCCGCCCCCCCCCCACCACACCCTCCTCCCGAGAAGATGAACAAGAGTGTCACCTAAAGACCAGCCCCAAAACTCTGTGTCGGAGTTTCGCTGCACTTAATAATCCTTGCATTTGATATAGAGCCTTATCACATCGTTGAGACGTCTCAAAGAGCTTCACAGGATAGATATACTCTAAAGTGGACTGACTGTGCATTTTGTGGGCAAAAGTAAGAGTAAATACCTTCTTTCCAAAATGCTTGGGTGGTGGGGGGGGGGAGAGGGGCAGAGGAGGGACAGACAGAAAGCCGCCACACAACAATAGGATACACGTTTACAAGTTATCAAGTTCCAGTCTCACATCATGCGTCTCACATCAGGAGTCAACAACAAGGCTGTGGGAGAAAGGGCAGGTAGATGGGACGGAACAGATCTCTCTTCAGAGAGCAGCACAGACACAACAGGCGAATGACCTTCTTCTGGGCTGTAAATTTTGATGGTGTTATGTAAAATGCGGAAATGAGGAAAGACGCTTTTTTCACCCCATGGGGAAAACTAAACGAGAGGATGAGAAGACAGAAGACACAGCCACTACACTACAGTAAATCCTAAGAAGCTTCCTGAGAGTTTTTCTGTAGATGTGATGAGACGCGATATCAAATGCGGGTATTATTTTTGCTCACAAAACATCGTCACCACACTTTACAGTACATTCTGTTAAGCGCTTTGAGATGCCTATTATTATTATAAACAGCACCCAATTCAGTGCAGGCCAACAATTCAAACGGAGACCTGCTTAAATCTCAGTGACACAACCATCTATCCATCAATCCATTCATCGAGGTGCTCAGTCAGCAATGTAACTTCTCTAAAACCTGCTGTACAAATATAATTTGAGGGGGGGATCATTTTTATAATAATAATCCTTACATTTGATATAACGCCTTATCACGTGATTGAGAGACGTCTGAAAGCGCTTCACAGATATACTGTAAAGTGGAGTGACTGTGTATTTTGTAAGCAAAACGCGGCAGCCAACTGCCAGCCATGCCACCCCAAAGAGACACCTGTTAATCTGCAGGCCTAGCACACACTCACATGTGC